CTCTTCCTAGCCCACCAGCGGGCAGTAAAGGACACCGCAGGTTCCTGGACCCAGAGAAAGAAAAATCCCCCATGTCCCCCAACCCCGCCAGCCCTCTTTCCTGTGCGTTGCTCAGACCTCCAGCCTGACTCTCTGCCGTCCCAGGCAGGCTCCAGCCGTGCAGGCCCTGGGGCAGGCGTCCAAGCGGGCCATCAGCCCTCCCGCAGATGGGGGCAAAGGGGTCAGTGGCGTTCCTGGAACAGACATCCTCCTTTGGCGTTTTAACATCTCAAAATCCAGGTGCTTTCATTATCTCCCCAGCTTGCTTCAGCATCCTCAGGATATGAGCACTGCTGTCGGTAAGAGAGTTCACAATGATTGCTCAGAGGCTCCCAGATCTCAACCTTTGCTGTATAAGGGCTGGCCCTGGGCCCTGCCCACCCAGGCTGGGAGCCAGCGGGGGGGCGGAGCCGCAGCTTCTGCCTCTGGCTAACTCTGGGCTTGGTCCTTCCCAAGGATTTGCTGTCCTGGAAGTGACTGCCTGGTTCCAAAAAAGGAATTCTCACTCCAAGCGCACTGATCCAGCTGACTCAGCTGCTGCTCCTTGGGCCCTCTGCCTGTGGGGAGGTGTGAGCTGGGAGAGCGGGCACTGGGGCCACCGGCCACCGCCACCCGCGGACCCTGAATCCGCAGGACAATGCTTGCGTTTTGGGTACTCTGGGTTAGCTGCGGAGGCCCTCCACTCTGCCTTGTGATTTAAGGGGTGACCGGGGACAAAGCTAGCCCCTGCACGGCCCTCGGAGGAGGTGGGCGGTCTGCGGGGAGGGCCACCAAAGGTGGGTGTTGCTGTCATCAAAGCTTCAGAGGGCCTTTGGCAGGCTTGGAACCCAGGAGGAAACTGGACAGAATTAGAGCCCACCCCGTCTCAGCAGGTGCAACTGTCTCTTGTCTCTGGGTTCAGATAGACGGACATGCATCCAAAAGTGACCCTTTAGTGTGTTCTAATCTTGGTTTCTCCGCCATCCTGCCTTTAGCCTGGGATAGCTCTAGCTCTGAGATGGGCGAGTCCCCACATGGGAGAGGGGCATGCATGCCCTGGTCCCCCCCACAGCACTTGTCCTGGCTCTAGCCCAGGAGACTCAAACTTTTTAAACAGGGGGCCAGTTCACTGTCCCTCAGACCGTTGGAGAGTGCGCACTGTGGGCCAGGACGATCGGCTGCTAGCAGAACAGGCAGCTGCGGCAAAAACACCCGGCGGGCCGGAAAATGTCCTTAGGTGGGCTGGCATGTGGCCCACGGGCTGTAGTTTGAGGGATGCCCGCTAGCCAGTGCGGACTCGGTGGAGTTTGGATGCACCATAAGCTTAAGCCATCAGCAGAGTCCACTGGGCTGGGGGTGCCCTTTCCAGGGGCTGTGTGTCTTGATGGGGCCATGCTCATGATCATAATTCAGACAAAAGGAAGTGGTTTCCAGAAGCCCAAGGTCTTTCTCCTGCCAAGTGCTGTGTGCACCTTGACGTCATTCCTGCACCTTTCTCTCCAGTGCATTAAACCCAGGTAGCCCACGTGGGACCATACACAATTGTCCCAGCATCTCCACCACCTGATCAATGGGCCAGAGTCAAGGAGCAGGGGACAGCGTGCAGGCCTGGGGCATGAACTGAAAGACGTTAGAATGGAAGATTCTAGGCCTGGTGCAGGTGGTCATGGCCTGTAATCCCAGCAAATTTGGAGGCTGAGGAGGAGGATTGCTTTTTGAGGCTGGAAGATCAAGGACTAAGACTGGGCAACATAGCAAAATCCTGTCTTACAAAAAGTTGAAAAAATTTAGCTGGCCGTGGTGATGCATGCCTGTAGTCCAGCTACTCGGGGGCTGAGGCAGTGAGAATTGCTTGAGCCCGGAGTTTGAGGTTTGCAGTGAGCTGTGATGTTGCCACCACATTCTCTCCTGCCTGGGTGATAGGAGTGGAGACTCTCTCTCAAAAAAAAAAAAAAAAAAAAAAGAAAGAAATTAAAAGCTGTCACCTTGTGGGCAGAGACAGGACTCTTGGCTGCAGTCACCCTACTGCTGAACACATTTCCTTGCCCAAGTCTCTTTCCTTCATCTGTAAAACCAGGACCTGCTACCTGGTTAGTCTAGGTGGTTTTCTAGGAATTCTATGTTCAGAAAAATTTTCTTGGAACGATTTTTAAGTGTGAACACGGTAACTTTTGCCAGCTGACCAGTTGGTGCTCCTTCCTACCACCTAGATAGAAGATAGAGATATATAGATAGACAACAGGGCCTGGCCCCGACTCAGCGACATGACTCAGCCAGGATCCTGGCCACCTGGATTCTCCCTCCTCAGAGGAAAAGTCCTCCCTTCTCCTCTCTTGGCGCCGTACCTCACACTCTTCCTCCCATGCAGGAGAAGCCATTGGGCGTATCTGCTGCCGGCGGGTGCTGGGCCCAAGGACACGGGCCCTAGGCTGCTACTGGCAGCTTCCTGGTGCCCAGACCTGTGAGGACATGGCTTTTCTCCGGGGGTGGGGGGTGTGAGCCCTGCAAGCTCTGGGTGCAGGTGAGGAGCTTCTGCCATTGGGGGCTGTCCCATACCAGCGGTTCCGTCCTGCTCCTTACTCCGTTACAAATCATATGGAAGGAAACCTTGGGGCTGTGTCCCCTCCTTTCTGCCCCTCCTTGGACTCCTGCTCTTAGCTACAGTTATCTCTGAACCTGCCCTTGGGTGAGCAACTGCCAATGCACTTGGTGCACCTCGGCCGCTTCCTTCTTTTGTCACACCTGGAAGGCACAGTCCAGGGACTCCTTCGGGCCACCTGCCTGCTCTCCAACTCTGGCATCCAGGCCACTCAGTCATAACTAGTGGGGCCAGGCAGTGGCCTTTCTTTTCCAAGATTGGTGTTGTTATTGGTGGCAAAAAAAAAAGAAGAAAGGAAAAGAAACACAACACTTTAAATAAGTATAGGTTAAAACCTATTGGTGTGACTACCTTTTATTCCGAGCCTTCACTCACTGAGTGAGTCTTTCCGTGGCACGCCGGGGTTCACACCGATGTATCTGGGGCTCAGGGCCAAGGCACTGGGTGACATTCCCAACCACTGGGGTCGGTGTGCCACCAGCCTCCCCTGACGACCTCTGGCTATGACCCACAGGCCAGTCTGTGGAGGCCACTGGCTGCTCAGAGCCAGGCCACAGATGGGAACATTCTGCCGCTCCACCGAAGGCCAGGGCATTAAGATGTATTAGTAATAAGAAATGTGTATTTGGCCTCTGCTCCAGTTCCTGAACAAAGTCCTAAGACCGTTGCAATTTCCTGGAGTGACAGGAGCGTGTGACCCGGCTGCTTAAATATCTCTCTCTTT